ATGTGATGATAGAATTACCTTGTGTGGCTATGTGATGACAGAATTACCTTGTGTGGCTATGTGATGACAGAATTACCTTGTGTGGCTATGTGATGATAGAATTACCTTGTGTGGCTATGTGATGATAGAATTACCTTGTGTGGCAATGTGATGATAGAATTACCTTGTGTGGCTATGTGATGATAGAATTACCTTGTGTGGCTATGTGATGACAGAATTACCTTGTGTGGCTATGTGATGATAGAATTACCTTGTGTGGCTATGTGATGACAGAATTACCTTGTGTGGCTATGTGATGACAGAATTACCTTGTGTGGCTATGTGATGATAGAATTACCTTGTGTGGCTATGTGATGATAGAATTACCTTGTGTGGCAATGTGATGATAGAATTACCTTGTGTGGCTATGTGATGATAGAATTACCTTGTGTGGCTATGTGATGATAGATCTTCCCATGGTTGCAATGTACAGCCTGGTACATGACAAACTATTGCACCACAACTCCTATCCAATCTTTGTAGCAGTGACTTAGCCATGTTTTCTGCTGCTCTACGGTTGTCATGGACACGCTTCAACATGGTCGTTGTTTCTTCGTGTTCATCACCAAGAGAGATATCTCCTTTTTGTGCAACAGACAAAAATTAAAATTAGTTGGACTAAAAATTACATTTTGTTTTTTTGTAACATTTTGTTTGATTTGTCCGATTATATGATTTAACCTCCCAACCTGACATATAGATGTGAGTGGCTGACCAACATCAAACCTCTGCAATGAGTACATTATACATTTTGGTGGTCATTCTAACACCGTCAATCAAAGTCGTGTTTGCATTGCTGGCTAAAATCACAGACTGTTTTCAACAAGATGATAAACATTGGGCTGTCAACAAACAAATAAACTTTGCCGTGAATGGTTACTCGTTGATGGCTGTCACTATCTGATGTTCCTGCAATTTTATTAGTACTGACAAAAATCGTCAAGGGAAGTGAAAAACTACATTGTTTTGTCTGGCGTGTGTTGGGTTTGGAGCACCATAGAGGGCGCAACTCACACGACCTTGTCAGGCTACACACTGACTGAGATTATTTCTGTAAATAGAAAGCTGTACACTAGTTTCTCTAGATTTGATATAGAGCCCTCAGTTCCTGTTGTTTTCGTTAGGGTCAGAGGTCATGTTTATTTGATGTTTCAATCATCTCTTATTCTTGAATTTTCAATGTGTG